AAAAAAAATTGTCGTAAGGCTTAGTTTTCATGACGCAATTTATACAAACAACTAAGAAGAAATAATTACACACAATCAACTCCGTATTATTGCAAGCGAAATATACAAATACAAAATTATTTATATATTGAAAATCATGAACGAATAAGGTGCAATATTGCAATGCTATACTAAATTAATTTAATCACATATAAGTATAGACTTTTTTATTTGTATTTACAATATATTATTACGTTGGATTTCAATTTTCAGGATGCATGCTCCTGGGATCCATCGCTTTCTCTCAGTTTATATCAGGTCGAGTCGCATCCAACTTTCAGTCACTTTCGGTCTCTGTTCCTTCAAGCTATCTTACTGAATATATGCAAATTCCCAGGAGAACTTTGGTTTCCCACTCATTCGATCTGCGCCTTCCCAATTAATTCATTGCAGGAATTATTTGCTCCGCGCGTAATTACCGACTTTCTCGATGTTCTCCAACTTCCGTCTTGAGGCAAAATTTGTGTATCGGAAATGTCGAATGTATTTAAGCTGCATGAACGCATGGGTTTATTTCGAAAGCACTTACAAATTCATTCAAGAAATTCATTATTACATTTTTATTATATGCATAATTAAAATATATATATATATATATATATATGTATGTATGTATGTATGTATGTATATATATATATAAATAGTATAATAATGTAAGCTTCTAGATTGCTTTTTTTCTTTGTCTTTTCCATTTAACAATATATTTTGAAATTATGAACTTATGACAAATGTGCGGTAGATCATATTATAATTAGCAAAAAAAAAAAAAAAAAAAAAAAAAAAAAAAAAAAAAAAAAAATAGAATAAAACTTACTCAGTTACTTTTACTATTGTTATAGTTAATAATTAAAAGAATTAATAAATATGATGATACAATTGAAATCAGTATTTATTTTAAATTATATATTCAGCTTGCAAGAAAGAACATGGATAAAAGAAAATATAAAACACTTCAATTGTCTTAAATTAACATTTTTTTAGATTTGCTTGAGAATATTTTAACATTACCATTTGATGAATTTAATTAATCGTCCATTTTATTATTGTTATTGCTAATGCTAATCTTTTCAAATATAAAGATTAAAATAATAAAATTAATTTGAATCTTATATGAATATTGGTGGTTATTAGAGTTCATACACATTTGTTAAATACACAAAGTACTCGAATGATAATCAATTTTTCTATTCAATTATGTAATCAATTATGTTTATTAACTTTTTTTTATATATAATTGATTTCTTAATGTAATATTTTTTTCTATATAAGATATGCTTCAAACCCATTCAAACATCTGCATCGGCTTAATTTTAAAATCAAATATAAATCTGTTGATTAACATAACTAAATACTGTACACAAAACTATTTAAACAACACTGCAAATTTCAATAGAACTTTTACATTATTAATGCTTATCCGTGTATTATTTTAATATGTAGAAAATAGAATAAAATAAGTATTGTTTAATTAGGTGAAATTTTTAATTTATAATTTTCTTTTATATAAAAAGTAATTGCAAAATTTTGGAATTGCAAGTTTAGAATTGAGATATCACGATGAACATATTTTTATGTTTATTAAATATTTGTTATAAAGACTTACGCGTGTTTCTTACGTTTGCTTTTAACAATTTGAATATCATATATCATTCAAAACAAATTAGATAAAAATTACGATTAATTTATACGAGTAATAAATAAGCTTATATTAATAATAAATTTATATTAATAAATTAATCGATTTTTTTTTTTTTTTTTTATTTTCAAGTGCTATCGGACGTTTATATAAAAATATAATTTTTATTTTCATTTTAATTTTAATAAGTTAATAAATACAAATAATGCTGAAATTATATTTTAAAACACGTTTGTACGCATTATAGAATAGTGAATAAAAAATTCTTTATCATTTACCGTAAGGTTTACTATTTATCCTACTCTTAATTTAAAAAAATATTTCTTTCCTTATTCTCATAACAAATACACTTCTTTATCCGTTTATGATTAAGTTACTCTTCCAAGTCCTTGTTCTATTTTATCCATTAAAATCAGTTCAGGTAAATGAAAATTTTTCATTTCTTCCAAACGCCGTATTCCCTATCATGCTAATAAAATACAATGAGTTATGACAATAGAGTACATCGACCGAGGCTCAACTGACCTCGATGGTTAAATTGCACTAAATTGCAAGTACATTATCGCTCTCCTAATATTATGGAAGTGGCGCACGGCAGCAATAAGACCCACCTACGCTCCTCTATCGGTTCGCGTGGTTTAACTCTTCTTCTCCCACTCTACCACGCTATGTGTAATAATTGTGCACTACATACAGATAATTCACTTGTAAAATGGCGTCGTAAAATAATGCTACCCGTTATACAAGTAAACTTTTGCTTGCGTGGTTAGTGAGCAACATCTCTCATTCTCGAATTTGATAAACGCGATCATCCGTGCCTTTGCCGTACAATTTATGTCCACTGCCATCATTATCCACATTCTCATCATTATCGCATACCTTGAAACTCTTTATCTTTTGATAGGTCTAACTTGAAATCGTCTTTAGGCCTTTTTCAGCTTTTGGTCACTTTTCGCTTATAGCAGTTCTCTTATTCTATTCGAATAAATACGGGATTTTTTTATGTATTTTTAATGTTTTTTATATTATTTTTACATATAATTCCCTTCTACTTAATAACCCCAGCATTCGGAATAGTGTTTTTATAGAATATTTATTTTTTATTTAACAATTGGAACAGTCAATTTCAGCAAGGTTGGATTATTAATTGCTTGACGACTAGCAATTACTAGGGAAGTCCTGGTAGTACAATTAAAAAAATTAATATTCATATCATAATGAACGGACAACTTTTAAAATGTAAAATAATTTTAAAGCATTTGCTTTTAAAATTTATTAATAAACAATGTAACAATGTTTAAGTCTGTCTAGTATAAATATTCTGTATCCTTTTAGTCTCAGTCACTTATTCAGAATTATACGTGCCAGAATATTTTTCTGGATAAAAGGTAGTTCACGTCAAATGTAGCTATTCAAACTTTAATATTTAATTTACAACTGTAATAAATATAAATTTTTTAGAATGAAAAAATTTATTATTATCATAATACACTGCATTTGGTTGCTATTTAAATTGATCTGCGTTATAATTCAATGATAATATAATTTATTATCCATAAGCAACAAAATTCAAATAATTCAATGATAATTTTTAATTATCCCGATTTAAATAATTATAATTATTAAATTATTGACATTGATAAAAAATACTGTTTGAACAGCTTAAGTAAATTAAAGAAATCACAAATATCCAATAAGTGTCCGTTAAAGCAAAAATTCTCATATTACGTGACCATAATAATATACATTGTCCTTTCGACTTTTTTTTTCTTTTTCTTTTTCTTTTTTTTTTTTTTTTACTATACTTATTTTTTTTATTGCTAATATTATGAGACATATTGTAAATACATACCAATTTGCATTTTGTAACTAATGATAATAATTTTGACTATTAAATCTGTTACAAACTGGAGTGCATGTTAATAGAGTAGAGTATGTAATTATTTCAGTAATAATAGTCAAGCTTTTTTTTTTTTTTTTTTTTTTTTACAAAACTCCATTAAGTACATAAATTTGTAGGTGAAGTTTTAAAAACTAACGATACAAGCAACTAAAAAAAATAAAAGCAGAGAAAACTTATGGCTTGCTCTTAGTTAATTAAAATGAACAGATTATCAAACCTATGAAAGCACATACAAAGTATTGGAATGATTTGATTTGTAAACTTTGAAAATATTAAACCATTTTTAAGTATTAAATATAACGTTAAAGAAATATTAAAAAAAAAAAACACAATATAACACGCATTATATATATATATATATATATATATATATATCACCATGAAAAATGAAAATTAAATTTTTATATATAACTATTCTAATATAAATCTATTACTTTATTATTTTCATTCTTGCAAAGAATTTAAACTACGTAATTATAATCGTACATATGATGTAATTTTTAATTAAAAAATATATTAATATATAATGTACGAAAAATCATCCTCTCTAGGAAAATTATGCATGTTTTAATTTTATTTAATTAAATAAATAAATCAAAGAAATTTATTTCTAAGAAATTTTAAAACTAACTAATAAAATATAATATTGGAATTTTTAAATCTATGCGGTTAATGAATAATATATCAACGTATAACTAATTTAAACATATCGGTACATTTCATGTCGGTATATGTAAGAAAACAGAATTGGAATGGAAAGAATAAACTCCAGCAAAAATCATCATGAATAATTACGGAATTGTCATTAACTTCGTCTATTAAATGTCTTGTCTAATTTTCATTGTCTTCGTGTACATCTCGTTTGCTTATATTTTTCTATAATTGTACTCTATGTTATGTCTATGCCTGTAATCTACAATAGTTTTATCATGTTTTTGAATTTTTTCTTAACTAATATGGTATCTCGGCCTATCTTAATTCTAATCAATGTTTGCGGAATATTGCAGGAATAAATTATAATCAATAGAGGAAATAAAGCAGAAAAATATTTCGTTAAAAAAGCCTACTAGAATACTTGAAAATAAGATATAGGACAGTTGCTCGCGTGTAATCTTGTCTTTTCGCTTGTGGTTTCGCCTCTCACTCTCTCTCTCTCTCTCTCTCTCTCTCTCTCTCTCTCCCTTTTTGCCTTTTGATCGCCAATCATGCGTGCGTATTATTTTCCATCAGACTATCACTTATTTCACATTTTACCGTGAAATATCCGTTTCTTTATACCCAAAAAATGTTTCTTTAACGTTTCTTTTATTTCATTTTTCATCACATAATTTGAGATTTATGCTGAACGGGAATTTTAAATTGCTTATTTCAAAAGGATTTAACGACGGCAAATAATAATGGCTGAAAAAAGGAATCACTTACTTTGAATACTGTCAATTTTGCAAAGAAAGATGAATCGATATCTTGAAATCCTTTCTGTAACAGGAAATAAGTATTTTCAGTACAAAAAATCATTTCAATATAAAAGAACGCATTTTTTTTTTTTTTTTTTAAATATTTTCTATTTTTTTGTAAATTTTTTTTTTTTTTTTTTTTTAACAATTCTTATTGTAAAAACTAAAAATTTCTTATCTTCTAATGAACATTTTTTACAATTATTTCACATCGGTGACGAAAGATTCATTTGATGTTTTACATATTTAGTATGAACTATAATTTATCTATTGTTTAAATAATAAAAATAATAACAATAACAATGGAATTAATAATTTAGCTGATAATTAAATTATGACTAAAAAATATATGCAGCAAAAATCTCTTCAAAGTGGAAAACTCTAATAAACATTACTTACAATAACATTAAAGTAATAATCCATATTATCGATTCATCGAATTATATTTACACGCATATCATCCAAATTTGCAGTAAGTTAAAGTGAGTTAAATAAAAATAACTTATAGGCCTTGAAATTATTAAATAAAACGAACAGAATACAAAAACATTCCAAATTACATTAAAATAATTACTGCACTAAAAGAAAAAATATTTAATAAATCCTCCTTACTTTTTTATATTATGTTAATGTTGAAATATGATTTATATATTTACGGTTTAATTGCATTCATAACTATTCGTTTGACATTTCAAATACATCTTGACGTATTTAAAATCATTTAAAAATACTATACAATTAAGTAAATTTATATGTATAACAATTTATCTAGAATCTGGTGTAAGTAACAGAAATTCTAATACGTTGGAAAAAACATTAGGCTCTCGTAAAAATTTCACAAATATTTTTTTACATATTATAATAATGTTTTATTCATTCAAATTAAAAAAAGTAATTGTAATTAATTTACCGTTCGAGTTAAGACAAAAAAAAAAAAAATAATAATAATAATGAAAATGAACGATATAATCAAAGTCTTTATGGATTTTGGTAAAATTATTTGGAAATGTTAGAAAGAAATTTCGTGCTAAAAACTAAGGAAAGAGGAAAAACACAGTATTCTCCAAATTTTTGTCAAATCATAATTATCACTTCTAATAATTCACTTATTTAACAATACATATATTAATAATATTATAGCGTAGTGAATATTTGTTAGAATATCTATTATGTTTTATTATTATTATTATTATTATTATTATTATTATTTATATATACATCATATTTATTTTTATCGAATTATATAATTTCGAAAGATTATACAAATTAAAAGTCTCTATTTTTAATTAATCTGAAATAATATATTTTATTAATATTATAAACAGCATTGGTTTGTAGCTAAAGGCATTTTAATGACGTTTAACTATGCGCTTTTAATTAATAAATTGACAGGCTAATATTTTAAATAGAATATATGGATTTTTTTTTCTCTTCTTTTTTTTCTTTTTTTCTTTGGCTAATTTAGATTTTCATTTTAATCATGACATAACGTTCGATACAACTTGTTTTATTGGTAAGTAATAATCTTCATAGTTTTCATTCTTTTTCTATTTCTATATATATTACTAGAAGTAGGGGGACTTAAAAGTAGTACATGCTCTGGGAATACTTATTAATCCATCAATGTCGCAACACTGAAAAGTCAAATAAATTACAGAATTGGAAATTTATTTACCAGCACACGTCATTAACGAATAATAATGAACTTGGAACGAGAGAGAGAGAGAGAGAGAGAGAGAGAGAGAGAGAGAGAGAGAGAGAGAAGGGTATATATCAACCCTCGATTTCATAATGTGCGCGTATGCTATTTTGCCGGCGAGAGATCAATGGCTTTGAGAGGCAGACGGATTCCATCCTTAATAATCAGGAGAAATTCGCTCGACATCACTGTCGCGCCCATGTTATTGAATTAGAGATTCCGTGGTTGATCGCACTCACAGATGGCGCTGTCTTGACAGTGTGCAGTTGAAAGATTAAAAGGGCGCGGTAAGGTAGTTTGTTTTGTTACGTAGGGGTAGGTAATAGACCTAATCAATGTTTATGCCCCGCAATGTCGGTTCTGCGATTAACCCAATGAGCCGTACTGCCAACTTCCAGCTCATCAATCACTTATTTGCGGTTGCAATTACTATTGGATGACACAATGCGCACTTTACGCGAGTTTTACCGGTGTTCGTTTAATTTCACTCTTTTAATTTGGATGAGTCGCAGCTGCATTTCAAGCGATAAATTACATGGTAAACAACGATGCTCGACGTCAATGTACATTCGAATGTTTTTAGAATCAATGTGCATGATCATGAATCATAATCGTAATAATGATAGTGAGTCAATGCGCGTGATTAATGAAAAATTGTGAAATTCATATTTGAGGTCAATTTGAAACGAAGACGATTTCTTGAAAAAGTAAAAGAGGCCGCTACATCGTTAACATATATTCTTTATTTGTTTTCCCAAGCTAAATATTATAAATATAGCGTTAAACAAGGGCAATTTAATTAACAATGCATCGATAATTTTAATATTTACATATCATATTCGTCGAAAATAGCTTTATGAAAAGAAAATTTATTGAAAGTATATAAAAAAATTCATGTATCATAGAGGTATGAGAGAGTAAGTAACTCGACCGCTGTATTTATATAAATGCAAAAATTTACAATAAGTACAAACGGTCGTATTTTAATAATTAATTGCATTATTGTTAAAGTGTTGTTATATAATAAGTGTTGTTATCTTATAGTGGTGTTATCTTCGTATTATCGAGATTATTGAGAGAAAAGCGAGTTGATGTTTAGGTAAGTCCTCGACTCTCTTTCGCTTCGCTTCGCTTTCCAATCCTCTTTTCAATAACTTCAATACGCCCAAATTTATTCTTTCCGACTAGTTGATGGACATCAACAGGATTTTCCGTTCTTAAACTCCCTATAATCTTCTTTCACCAGTAGATGTTCATGGCAAGCATGGATATGCACGAGATGGAGGAAAGAAAGAGACAGCATGTATCATATATTATAATAAATAAATAATAATAAATGTATGTCAATTTTGTTAAAAAATTTAATGTCATTATTAATAAGTAAATTATTAAAATTCATTTATAATTGTTTATATAATTATCTAGTTCACTGATTATTTGTAACATTTTTCAATAAATTACAAGAGAGTTTTTGAGCATTGATAATTTATTTAGCGTATAAAAATTAAACTTCTCCAAAGGATTACAATTTCTTTTAATTATGCGATTAGTCCCCCCCCCCCCCCACACCCCCCCCCCCCCCCCCCCCCCCCCCCCCCCCCTTTCATAATCAAATAATACAGTTGCGACAATGCTTGTTAAAAACTGGCTAATCATATAATATTAAGACGAGGGAATTTTTTTGTTCTTTTGTTTTTTTGTTTTTTTGTTTTCTTTTTGTTTTCTTTTTGTTTTTACCCATCCGGCTCATTTTAGACTAATCGAATTACACAGGCGAAGATTATAGTTATAATTGTAAACGAACAGTTTGAATATTTTTAATAATGAAATCAAGAATTTATGAATCTATCGAAACAAATGCACAGTTTATACAATATATAATTATTATTAATTTAAAACATCGTGCCAATATAAAATACCGAAAGTTTCATTGTCAATAATTTGATTGAGACATTGGAAACTTAAATTATAGATTAAATGATAAATTACAGTCCATCATATTCAATGCTTAAATAAAACTATTAGTATCATGGTAATACTAAATTCTAATTATAATTGGACAGACAAGATATTGCAATTTGACTGATCTCTTTGTCTTGATAACATATATAATTTCCGATAATGCAGGAACAACTATTAAGAATTACGGTCATTATAATTATCTGAAAAATAATTGACTTGTAATTAAAACACATTTTTATAATCGTGGCTTGCACATAGTTTCTAATAAAAATTAATAAAAATATATTCTCTGGCTTTCAAAAATTTAATTTTTGTTTTCTTTTTTCTTTTTTGTTGTTGTAATATTTAATGTTTACTGGGCTAGAATAGAAACATCACTGAATTGAGTAATACAATATTACTTCCATGCAAAATTTTACTGAAATAACTAAATTGATTTATGAATCGCAATTGCTGTCAGTATTCAACTTTACGAACATACTCATAGAGAAATACATACACACAAATATGTAAATTTTTACATGTAATCGAAATATTGAATTTTCAAGTTTTCACCGTAAATATTACATTATCCATATACTATTCTTTCTCATGAAAAATTTGAATTGAAAAATAAAATTTGTTTATTTAAGCTTCACCGCGTGTCAAAATTTTTTATCAATATATTAAGACCCATTTGTATATTGAGAATACATTGATTGAATAATGAATTATGAGAATATAATATCTTATCTCGTAGAGTATAGTTTCTTATAAAGTATCTGCTTCAGAATACTTTATATTCACTTGTTTCTTATTTAAGTAGTCGTAGTTACTCTTACTTGTTTAATCTCAACAGATCTTACATGGGTATTGTTAAACATTATAAGCTTATATTTCACTGCTTCGCCATCTACCTTTTTATATTCAGAAGGTTGACAAAATGATTAAGTACTATCGATTATTGCTCTTTATGACGAATGAAACATCTCGTCTCCCTTCGTTTATGAATGTATAAGCACATCCAATCTCCACGTGCACGTGTGTATACAACTACAAGCATAATATACAGTATAATATACAGATGCACACGAACGTAATGAACAAAGGAAAACCGCAACGGGCAATACAATCGCCGTTCATTTTGCATTATACGTCAACTTTTTCCCACAGGAAGGAGGATGGGTGTTGTGAGGAGGGAGAGAGAGAGAGAGAGAGAGAGAGAGAGAGGCTCTTCAGTATCATGCAACACTAAACTTTTGAGAGATCAATGTATATATATAAACCGCTCCATGTTGCTGCCCAGGCGCAAGTACAAACATGTAAAGTTGCGAGACATTGTATG